TAGGAACAACAGAGTTAAGTTCTGAAATGCGTATTAATATCTATTTAACTTCTCGAGTTAATACCGAACAATAACTTGAGATATGTACACACTCTCACGAAGAGTAACACGATATAAATTCCCGCGTTAATGCACACAACTTCTCAATTCATAGGGAATTTCTGTTGCCATTTTCGTTTCTGTTTTCTCACAAGAATCAAGTCCGGAGGGTGTATAACTAACGATGAACTATTGTTATAGATCTTTAGAAAAAACCGATCGAGATTGCACCTTTGTGATGGCCAATTCTACAGAGAGGTTCTCGATTTCCCGGAGCAAATTTATTTAATTTAATCCAATCTTAATCTCTGAGTCTTAATGTGGCAAATAGAGGTGCCTGTGAAAAGATTTGATTGGCAGTTCGAAGATGAGAGGCATATAGGCCTACACATCTAGGGAGAGCTAATCCAAAATACTTGTGGTTTCGCAGTGGATATTCGATCACTAGGTTTATATAGATACAATTAGTTCGTCAATTCGAGTGCTTTAATTTGGTCGACGTATTCAGAGTATGACAAATCAGAATTAGATGAAATACTGCAAATGAAATTAAGTTTCGTTAGTAAAAAGAGTTGTCATGTATAAGTACGGCCCTCATGTGCTCAAATATATAAATAAAATTTTAAAATAATTACAAGTTATAAACTATAATTTTATTTATTTAATTAATATTATATTCCGTTTTAATTGTTTAACGGGTTCCTATTTTTACATAATATAATATCAATGAAGAACATATCTATAAACGAATAAATAAGTTTAATGATACAAATAATGTATAAACAATACACCATTTAATAAAATATACATTAGCGAAATCAGTAGGCCTAATACTATTCAAGATAAAGTATTCAGTGGCAGAGAGCCACGGGTATTGCCCCTCTTGAGCTCACCAAGCGCTGCAAGAATAGAAAGGAAGACATGATTGTCGACAACGCCAGGATCTGATATGACACTTAGTTAGATTGATAGATTCAGTATAATGACAATCATTACTATTATTATTTATAATATACGGTATGCCAGTCCAGTTAAAGATGAAAAACATAGGCCCTAAACATATAGAAAAAAAATCCTAGTTTATGGAGGAATAAACTTTTCCCTCCATGGTTTATCGCTGTCGATATTCCATCATTTCTTTACAATTTTACATTGACAAATTCCTTCGTCGAATTAGATGAAAGATTGCTTGCGAATGTGTAAGGGCTTATGTGAGTGTTGTGTTAAGCCGGGCACGCACTGCGTCGTAGGACGAATCCAACTCCGCTCCCTTTGAGCGCTAGACGGTGCGACGCCGTCTGTTGATTATCGGTGGCAAGTCTGAGCTGATCGTCATTAAAACCAACGCGTTGCGCGCTCGTCATGGCTTTGTGTTCTTCATAAATTCGCGTCAGCCGATGACCTTCGGGCGCAGTGAGTGCCCGGCTTTAGTAAAACGAATTGCTGATTATAGGTAACATGTTTACTTTCCTATTACTATTTAATCGAAATAAAAGCTTTCACAAGAAAAATATACATGAAGAAAAAAATTAGTTAGATTGGGCTTGAGTCACTTTGCAAACATATTTAAAGAGTCACCATTTAAAGTTTAAATACCACCAAGGTTTAAAATGAACAATCCAATGTTTTAATAGAATGTTCGTTGAGTTTTCGGCCTTTACCACTTACAGGCTTGTAAATTCAAATTAAGTATTTTGAATTTGATATGTGGCTTTTAGTTAGTACTTTTCTTTTCTTAAGAGGTTGTTGACGTGAAGAGCAAATAGTTAAAGCACAAAAATTCTTTCGAAAAATATACGCTGAAGGCTATTACTTGGTCTCATTTTAGGCTAATTCCCACTTGAACCTCACTAAGTCGTAAAATTTATATTTACCTTTTAGAATATGATTGGAGCGGGGGTTGGAATATAGATGCAATAACTAAGTGTGTTTTCTTTAAATATTCAGTAGTTGAAATTAAACCAAGTATAGTAAATAAAGACTTTGTCATTTTTGCGCGTCAAACATAATGGTTTTCTTGCCGACAGCTAAACTTTTCAAGTTAATTATAATTAAAAGCAAGAGAGGAAAAAATTTAGATTTTTTTCATGAATGATAACAATGGCAAAATAAAGGACTTTATGACATATCATTCTCTATTCACCCTTTCACCCTCTTTAATTGTATTACGATTAGAATGATATATATGATATATAATTATATATGTAATATATATATATGTATATATATATATATATATATATATATATATATATAATGAATGAATGAACGAACAAGCAAATAATGTCATATTATATAAGCATATGTTTCACCGATCGTCCAATGTGTTAACATGCTGATACACGGCATGCAAACTATCGATATTCTCACAATGTGCATATAATTATAAGCCTATACTTCAATTTTAAGCCATATTTGTCCTACTTTAACTTTGAAATTAGGTGCTTAACAAATGCATTAGCATGCAAAATTTGGTTTACTTACTAAGACCAGACATTGCGTATTTTTTTTCACAGGCATCATGGCAGTAAAATAACAAACATGCGTTTGTTTCTGAAGCCGCCTGGTGTGAAGTATTAGGCCTATCTGTTGACGTTGGTTCAGGCATAGAATAGGAACTAAAACTGCTGTGACGTCAAAAAGTAATTGTTTGGTCCATATGAAATAGTTTATGCAAAAATGAAAACAAAATTAACGAAAGACCAAGCGTTAAGCAGTGGTGGCGCCAGCCGGCGGGGGCGGGCGGTTTATGCGAGGGCATATGCCCACCCGTCGGACAGGCCTGCATCCCCCTGTTGTCGGACGTCATTACGAGGTCGTCGGATCAAAACTAACAAAATATAGGCCTATAATTTTCCTATCCAAATATCGTCATTTGTATTGCCAATCCCTAATATTGTGGTCTAAAAGCTCAATTTGGACCATGCTAAGACATATAAACTTATTTCTAGCAGGGAATTCTTATTTCGGGACTCGGACCGATGCTCTAGTTGGTCCCTAGGTTCGGACACCCCGTCGGACATGTCGGACCCCTTGTCGGCGAATTTCTGGAGCCATCGCTGGCGTTAAGCTTCATTGCATTTGGTTTTTGATGCGCGTGTGCATCTTTATAACATGTCGCGGTGGCTACCGTTAAATTTATTAACCGTGTGATGTGCAGTCACTACCTATCTTTTTCCCATCCTATTGCTTTTTTTTGTTGTTGATGGTTTTGTTGTTCCTCTTCTTTTTTTTTTCAATTCTTCATTATATTTGTTTCTTTATTCAAGTTCTTTTAGACATTTGAAAGCGCATAAAGACATACGGTAGTATTAGGTGCAATACAAGTTTATAACCATAACCATAACTAGAGGGTCATCCGAATGGCGGGTTTCTAAGTCTGAGCAAATAGTATACAACTCAAAGCAGATATTCATAAAGTCTGGTATATTTATTTCCAATTATTTACACCTCTATACAATTTCTAAACATAAGCTAGATATTTCCAATTAGTTTCGCAGTACTAGTAGCATTTACACAACACACGAAAGTAGTAAAGGTTTTAATACTATTCCTCACAGTGACCTTTACAAATGAGAAATACTGATTCCATAATAATACATCAATGGCGCATCATGCATCCACATACCTATGAGTGGAGACGATCATGGATAAAGTATCTTGCCTAAGGACAAAAACCAATAGTCATCTTTACATAATCAAGCCGAAGGTCTTTCAATTATAAGACCAATTCGTAATGCTGCACCAAATGCTTAATTTAAAATTCAAAATGCAATTTTTTACAGCTATATCTCTTGAATATTATTAAATACATATCTGGAAAAGAAAATAAAATGAAGGCTCATGCAAATGTTGGCTCATTCATGATATATCAATGCTAGATCGGTCATGTTCACTCAGCACCGGTTATAGGTAAACCTACGACGGACAATGCCAACACTATCTTAAGCCTGGTTTCTATAAAAATGTACATTTCCGTTAAGCCCCACCCCTTGGATATTGTTGCTAAGGTCACATAGACGACATACGCACACGCGTGCATTTTGTGAAACAACACGTGTGATTGTAGGACACGCGCGTATTCATGGTCCTGTTCTGATTGGTCAGTTAAGTTTGATGGCCACTACGGAAAGATCCATTGCTACATTAGGTAGTTTTTTCGTCGCACGACGTTAACCTTAACGGATGACGTCATAATTTATTCATCTTGCGTTGCGGAGTACGTTAATTTCAGGATTTTAAGCGCTCGACGTACGTTAGTTACGGGTTTCGATTTGTTTACAAAAAAGGGGCGGAGCTATCGTTTTGCATGTAGGGTACTAACGTTATAGTTAAGGTTAACGTCGTGTGGCGAAAACTACCTACTGTCGCAAAACTGCGTAGTTGTCCCCGACGCAATCGAGAAGGCACTCCGACTAACTATTCTACTAACCAATCAGCATCACCGAAATCGGCAATAGCGTGCAGCGATTTTATGGAATCTAGGCTTTAGTCCTATGCACATAGCCTTCACCTAGTTGAGATAGTGACCATTAATTAAAGTTTTTCTTTTTTTCCTGAGTTGTATTGGACATATTTTAGGTCGATTTATATTGATTGAAATATCCCATATGCATTAACAAATCTTATTTTACTAGAAAGTTGTCTATACAATAAATAGCAAACGGTTTATAGACAACAGCAATTCCGAAAATAAACATATTTCGTAAATTATTGAGTTTAAACGTGTTTACTAAACGAGTTGCAAAATGTTATTCTACGAACACTTATTCTATTCTCTGAGCATTGAGGACTTTTCAAGTGCAAGAATAAATAATAAATAAAATAATATTTTATAATATATAATATATAATAAAATGCATTATTATATATAGATATGTTATATATAGGCCTATATATAGGCATCAGCCCTGATAGGTGTATATATAGGTTATATAATATAAACATATTCATATATCAATAATATATATTTTTTTTTAATTAACTAATTAAATAATAGTTTAATGATTAAATCAGGATATTAATTAAGTTATTTTTGCTTCGGATATAACACATGTATTATTTATCACATTTTAAAAACATTGTTCTATTTCTTCTAGGAGACATTGCTCTAAACATTTATCAGCTTATTAAAGGCCCATTGTTGCGCTGTGCTGTCTTGCTCGTAGTCTCAAACTTTCAATGCTCGTGTGTTGAAACTCATTCGGCAGTGACGTCATGTACGGATGAAATGTAGTTGGGGGAATGACGCCATCTTTACCAGGTGACATTGTAGGATGAAAACCTGGCATAGGTGGGAGGAAAAACCCAGGGAATGGTCGAGGAAAGCCATGTTGCTGTCCGTGAAACATGTTACCGCCAAAGAAGCTAACATTTCGATCGGGAACTGTTAAGAAACTAAACGGCTTAGGTGGTCCTGTTGTCGGAGACGCTGAACTGGTAGTTCTAGCAAGTTTTGTTTTTGGTTCTTCGCTGTCTTGCTCGGAGTCAGAAGTCACATCACCTGTATAAAATTCATGAAAAATGATAGTAAGATATGAAAGTTATTGATTGATTAATTGATTGATTGATTTATTGATTGATTGATTGATTGATTGATTGATTGATTGATTGATTGATTGATTGCTTGCTTGGTAATTTGTTGAGTTGGTTAGTTGGACTACAACGATTTACAAATTCATGATAATAATAATAATTACCGTTAGATAGCGAGCGTTTCCTGATCTCCACTCGTTCTTTGCTAAAATCTATTTGGTCCTCTTTCTCTTCTTTTTTGATTTCTGATTTCACCTCTTTCGGGGGTAATTGCTTTTCGTCAATAGAATTGGATGACGTAACTTCTTCCTTTATTGTAACTGCTGTTTGGATGTCTTCCTCTTCACTAGCATCATCACTTTCAACATCGATGTCATCTTGAGGAGTCTTCTCTTCGGTGTCAGATTTTACTTCTGTGTTCGAGTCGACGCAACGGTTGCGTTGCTGCTTCCTGTATTTTGCACGCCTATTTTTGAACCAAACCTGAAAAAAAATAAGGTATAGAGTATTTATTACTAAAATAGATAGACCTGTCTGACACCGTGACAGTTAAAATAGTGTAGTGTCTCTCTTATATTACTGTAGCATTGGTACAAGTTCATATAATGTGAAATGGAGCCTGTGGTGTTATGCAACCAACAAGTTTTCTTTTATTATTATTATTAAACTGTATATTTATTTTTTAGTACCATTTAGATAAGTAACATACTGAATGACATAGGCATACCTGAATTCTAGCCTCCGGTAGATTTGTGCACATGGCCAACTTCTCTCTCATTACGACGTCTGGATAATGCGTCTTGGTGAATGCTTTCTCCAATGTAGAAAGTTGTTGATTGGTGAATGCAGTCCTGCTTCGACGTTGTTTGCGATGTGCCCCGTATTTGGCTTCCAATAATATATCTGAATAAAGAAAATAATTTGGTAATATGTCTGCCATAATGAGTATATGCATTATAATAATAATAATAATGAGAGGTGAGTTTTTTTTAAGAAAAGGTAAAGTCGGCATATTCTCTTTGGTTTTCTTAGGACATGTTTTTAGTTTTTCAAAACTATAACATCATATAATTTGTTATTTTATTTAATAATATCATATTAGGACTAAGATAAGGCCAAATTTCCTTAGGACAAAATAAAAAATACTCTAAAATGATTAGGCCTATAAAAGTTTATCGGCATATCATAAATCTACTTATTTGATGTGATCGAATTTTTTAGTTGCTAACAACCACAAGTTTATAATATCAAACTTAAATTATTAAAGTAGGCCTAAATTCTGACGAATATATAATAATTCCGCCAAGTTCGATCCCAAGGCCTAAACTGTTTCTTTGATATGAGGGCAATGATCTTAACTCTTGAATTTTGGAACAAAGCCTTAAACCGGTCAGTGAATACATTTTTAACCAGCTTAGTTATATTAAACTGCTAATGCTAAAATTCTCGCACAATAGTTGACAAAATTCGACAATTACTTTAAAGCCCTCAAGTTTTTGAGTTCTACATAAACCAATCCTTAATACTTTTCAAAGGAAATCGAGAATGTTTACCGAACAACTGCGCTTACGGCGCTAATTGTACGCAATTGTTGTGAGTGTTAAGCTTGATAAAATCCCGCGGGCTACATACAAATCGAAGTTTGTTATTCAATTCAGTAAAATTGAATAGTTGGTGGGTGATTGTGAAATTGATGAATATACCAATTCTTTATCTAAATACTTCTTAAATTCACTAACAGGGAATAGAATCATACGCATAAGTTATTGAGAATAGTTTTAATCTAGCCCGGCCTGGTATCAATCCAACGTACGGGCTATCAACCTTTCTTCACGCGTGCACCTTTAGTGAAGCGATTACTAAACCCTCTTGGCATTTTTATAGAATTTATGTAAGCAACTTATAGTTTTGATAAACCTGTTTATTCGGATTAGCAGTTTCTCTTGATTCTGCTCTACTGACTAAATATTATAATAGGAATGTTAATATACTACACTGCAGCATTAATTAAAACTGACTTATAACTCGTTTAGCTTTTGTATTGGGGCAACAATCGAGTAAGCGTGAGGTAATTACAAAATGTACAGTAAGATGAATGACGTACCTGCAAGTCGTTCGGCTAATGTTAAAGGCTGGCCTGACGGATGGAAGCCAGGTGGCGGTGGCGCTGGATACGAACCCGGATAGAACCCGTATATCGGGTCCATAGTCCCAGGTGCAAAGAGCGGGTGGCGAACTTGACCAAAATATTGCATCCTGCAATATAAAATATTGTAAAAAATTTTCAATCGTTGGCTATTAATATATTTCAAATAATGTAATACTGTAATCGTCTCAATAAAGAGTTCAGGTTGTTTGTTACTTGACAATTATTTTGATTACGAGACCAAACAAAATTATTTGAATCTGATCTGTTCCTATCTCATCTCATTTCTCATCCTTATTTAAAAATTAAAATATCTCATACACCCGAACAATATAATACAATTATAATATTATGTTTAACTTAAGAGCGACCCACCCCGCGAGCTTGATAATACTGGAACTTATCCTCTTAAAAAGAAGCATTTGTATGGGGCTTGGAGATCGATGTTTTGGGGGTAAAAGAAACAAACATTAAATGAGAATTGCTTGTCTAGCTTATTACAAATTGATCTCCCTGCAAAAACTCTTTAAAATAATTAGACATATCTTAATGTTAGATTAATATTGCATTTTATACTACAATTTTCCAACATAAATAAGTAACATAAAATAATTCATCAAAATCCCAAGATGAAAGCTAAATTATTGAAACAAAAAGCAAAGAATAATAATAAACTATAAAATTAACTAATGGAAAGTTAATTTGAAAGTATTTTTGGAAAGTCCAGAATAAGGTGTACCGTAATGTTTTATTAATATCAATGTTTAACTTAATGCTACACTCATTACGTCTATCTAGTACTCTTCAACAATACAAATTTACTATTTCCTTTGAACTTTTAAACAATTAAAAAAAATTATTGTTTACATATTAAGCAGACACATAATAATACCGTTCCAAAATTATTGCAGGGAGACCAACTTTAATAGTGATTCGGTTTACTTTTATAGAATCTCTACTCAGCACCGTTTTCAATTGTCATTTTTGTTTTGTTTGTAAAGATTGTTTTATGACGAAAAATAAATGAAAATAAATTTTTGCTGAGTTTGCTAATAATCAATTAATAGAATTTCTTATAAAGATTGTGTAAATCAACAAAAAATATTGTTTTGATCTGGTTCTTGCTGGAAAGTTTATTGATCATCTAAAGACATATGTTGTAATTAAAGTTTTCAAATTATTGCAATTCTTATAAAAAATATTACTTGGGCATTTTCCTCCTTATGTGTTTATTTATATAATGATATGATAATAATAAAAATGAGAGTGTATACAAATAATAAATAGATTAAAAATAAATACGAAGAATGAATAGATGGTCAGCAATGTCTTGTGTAATAAAATATGTAATTTAGTCGATACATGCTACCAGTGTTTTCGCTTATACGTCAACCTGACTAACAGCGGCTCTACATAGACCTATTATCATTAATAATCATTTATTTTTTACATATTACATATATCTAAACACTCTTTAGAAGGAGTTATGCATTTAAATTAACAATTATACAATTATTAAATAAATAGAAACATTTATATAAAAAACATAATGAATAATTGTTATCATACCTGATATTAGTAATGAATTCCAATTAAGCAAAATACTGTAAAAGTGCTGAGTAATTTAGCCTGCGTGCTAAGTCGTTAAGTATTACAGAATGAACAAATCACAAAATATTTGCCAAAGTTAAATGCGTCGCTATTGTTGACTAATCGTGGTTAACTAAACAACCTCTCAACAGAGAATGAAATGAATGATTAGGAAAAGTTGCTCAAATGTAATTGCGATTAACTTCTTAAAAGTAGGTGGAGCCTGGTTAATTGCTCCAGTGATGCGATTGGTCGGATTTGATAACAATGGACTGTTCTGACACTTGGGGATCTGCGGTTTTAGCCATTCATTGGGGAGGAGCTTAGCAGCAAAAGTTATCTAATCATGAACAATAGAGGGCGTCGTCGATAAAATGTAACACTCATAAATTACTACACCAGTCACTGCAGTTTATCGATTATGGCAACGAAATTGATATGTAGAAAAAACACAACCAAGTCTAAAGTTAAAGGTTTCATTTAAAATTATGTTCTAAAAGAAATTTAGGTCATGGTCGATATTATTTACTCCCTGCCTTGTGTAAGGTTAACAGTGTACTGCAGTATAGCGACCAAGCCGCTTTAAACAATCATAGACAAAATTTTACACATTAACAAATCTGATTAAACCAGAACAGTGCGTTTACACATATATGGTAATTGCTTTTCAGTGATGTTGAAATACAATGGACATAAAATTCTGAATTAAAAAAAGTTATTTTATGAAATAACAGAATATATATATATATATATATATATATATATAATATATATATGTAATATTCAAATTAGGTTTGCTGCTACAGAACCGTAAGCACAATAAACAAATGAATAAATAATAACAATGCTCAAATAAGAGCAAGATGTTGTTATCGTATCAAGCATAGCCCTTGGCAACGAAGAGAACCTTTAGAATTCATTTGTCTCTGGTGAGGTTCGAACCTGCAACCTCTCGCTGTCAGGCCGTGTATCATACAACCGAATTAAAAGGGAACTTTTGTTAAGGGGCTATACTTGATACAATTATAACATCTGTTAATAACTATAAAAAATAAATATATAAATAAATTATAACACTGTTATTACTATTTATCCATTTATATAATATATATATATATATATATGTATGTATTGTATATACTGTATATCCTTGTCTCTTATACACATCTAGATGTATATATCTATATATATATATATATATATATATATATATATATATATTATTTATCGGGTAGCCGGGTAGCACAGGCACAAAGGGCGATGGATGTCACTGAACGAGTTAGGCTAATATTCCACAGATTAAGAGCCATGAGCATTTTCTTTGATGGATACCAGCGCTATACAAATCTACACTGTTATTATTATTATATTTCCTTTATTGTTGGAAAATAGTAAACGATATTACACCATATATAGTTATACTAAATTAACCTGAAGTTTGATAGCGCGATCGTCATCGTAACATCATGCTCAATCTCACCAATCAGCGTATTATAAAACGCAGTCTTATCTTTTTATTAATTTTTTTACTTCTTTATGAGGGCGCTAACACTGGCTGAAGAAACTTACTGAGACTAATTTAAATCAACACTGATCGTTATGCATGCAACGATGCCATCTGAAAAACTGATAGTACGCAAAAATGTTGATATATTTGTGTTTAAAGTTCTGTTTTGTCAAGGAAAGAGTTTTTGAACATTGCCAATATTTGATTGCTTTATTCTTGACTATCATTACTATCAGTATCGCTTGTTGATTATTGTACATTTGTGGTATTTCGTTGTTCTTATATAATTGTATTATTAAAACTACACCTATACATATTATTAAAATTACACCTATACATGTTTCTCCTCACGCAAATCCAGTTATTGTCTATTATTCCATCACGACAATAACAATTACTATCAACACTGCAGTACCCACTGCTTACTTGGACTCGAATTCACCCCTGGCCATCAGGTGCAAGCTCGGTGGTCTAGAGGTATGAGGCCAGGCTAGTGATCTGAAGATCGTGGCTTCGAGTCCCACCCGAGAACAACTTCCGATCTTTTTCGCAGTTGTTTTCAATGTACTGAGTACTCGGTACGGTACATTTCCACGTCAGGTAGGGCAAAACTACAAAAAAAAAATGAATAAAAAAATATAGAGAAATTAAACTAAGAGTTCCCTCAAGTTAATTATTTCTAGTTCTTAAGTCATGTTTAAGAACAACCTTAATGAAGTAGACATAATTGTCTCAAACACGAGGTTGAAAATATCCTATATACCCATTTCGAGTACGTATTTGGGGCAAGTTACTATATCTTCTCTACGAGTACGTTATTATTTTCAATTGAGCTAGATTGGAATCCATGTAACTTTGTAGCTTATGTAATAAGTTTGTAGGGCTGACAAAAATAGGTCTAATTAGCATAACAGGCCAGAATAAACTTGATAATCATAAAAGGTCGATAAAATAGTTGATAATGATAAACAAATCCTGCCTTTAATAGAATAAGATTGAATATTCAACCGAGGCATGATTGCCTCTTATGACAAACTTTAGTTCAGAAAGGAATATTCAGACTTCACTCAGGAAATGCGTAGGCTCTTTCAATGTAGATAGTATGATACTTAATTTATTTTATTCATCGGTTGTAGAAAGTGCAATAATGTATGGCTGCTGTGCTTGGTTTAATAGTTTGAGGAAAGGTGACTGTAGGAGACTACAACGAATAGTAAGCCAAGCAGGCAAAATCATGAAAGAGAAAAATAGTTGAAATAGTTGCATGGAAAGAATAGTAGATAAAATCAAATGTATAAATGAACATTTATACATTTAATTGTATCTACTATTATTTCCATGCAGTGTATAAATGAACAACATTACTCATCCTTAATACAATCTCTATCAATGGTTAGCATCTGGTAGGAGGTTAAAATCCATCAACTGCAAATTGACTAACCGTTATCCTTTTTACCATACTCCATAAGAAGCCTTAATAGCATCCAGTAAGTTTAAATTTAAACTTATTGAATGACAAAGTACTTACAAAGACATTTAAGTTTACCGTTTAATTGTTGCGGTTTTTTCCGCGATGTACTTTTGCACCTATTGTAATTTCCTATTGGACAAAATTTTAAAAATCTGAATCTGATTTTGAAAAAAAAAAAAACATCTGATGATATGAAAATTGAAATTTCTTCTTGTACCAGTATATCGCAATTCATTTTATCATGTTTTATAATAATGATTTGGGGTTGAATGATACTATTATTAATATGATACTCTTTGCTGAGGATAAAAACTTGTTATATTCTCACAAAATACAAGTTATTGTTAATAATGAGTTTTAACTGAATGGATTCGTATCATTTGTCTTTATTTCTCTCGAAAACTATTGTGTTCAATTAAATAAGGGAACACTTCTTTAACAAAACATCAAGCAATTTAGTTTTGTAAAGTTTTGGCAACAGACTAAACTAAAAATTGCACATACATGTTGTAGGTAAAATTAATTTATGTTTGCTTATTTTATGTCTATTTTAACCCTTACACAATACTTTTGTCTTTACTGATAAATCAATTGTTGTTAGCTTTGTTTTTCTTTTTAATTGTTGTTCTTTGTATAATTATTGTTTACTTGTATTATGTATAGACGCACCATCGTGTAGGTGTGTGCCACTGTTCCTAAAGTGAGGTCCAATAAAAACTGAAATACAGAAACACTCCTTGTGGAAACTATTCTAACGGACAAGATACTGAATACATTATGAAAACGCAATTTCGGTAATTATCGTGTCAGTATATAGCAGCAATACATTTATTTATCTATTTATTTATAATCTAACAATAATAAATAATAATGTCATTTTGTTAGGCGCACGTATCCATCCCTAGTAGGGGTGCTCGCGGCGCCGTTTTCCACCTGCCGAGTGTACATGTAGCCATTTTCCGCATTATTATGTAAATTAATTAATTAAATTATTTATTTACTCATTAACGTAAATTTATTTGTGTCGGACCAGACAGGATGGGAAAAGATAGGCAAAATAAGATGCAACTACTCTTCTATAAATCTATTCATTTATTTATTTATTATTATGAAATGATTTCCAAAAATATTCATCTATTCTCGTATTTATGTATCAATTTATTAGTTATCAATTTTGTTACCTTATCAATTAATTTTTCTTATAGAGGTCTTTCTTTAATGAAAGACCCCTCCAATTAAAGACCACTTTTCTGTGGTCCCAAATTAGCAAATATCTTTCATTTTTATTATTCTAATTAGAGACCAAAGCTGCTAGAGACCATGAAAACCCCAGTCTCAAAAGTAGTTTTTAATTGGAAGGAGGCCTGTAATTATATTATTAGAACCTGTTTAAAAGCACTTGAATTTATTTTCGCTTCCCCCTTTTTCATTTTCAATTATAATACATACCGGTACATTATTTTAGCACTGTTAAACACAAAGACCTATTATTTCGCCTTTACTTCTTGTAATCCAGTGTAATATGACTATTTTCTTTCCTGTCATGGCCTATGTTGATTTTTATTTTTAAATAGAACATTCAAATGACATGAAATAATAAGTTATTTGAGCATTTAAAGTACCAACGATTTTCAATACCAATATTTTCCTCCACACACGTCAATGTTTCGTTAACTGTGCATTATGGGAATTGACGATTTCTTTGGTATTAATTACTGTACTTTTTATTTACCAAATGAATTTCAGCCAACACCCAACACCTACACAATCAGTTTGCATTTTCTGGGCTTATTTAAAATTGATTTCAATGATTTTCATGGTTTTACATAAAATTTTCGTTTTATTGTGTTTTTAGATGTTCATATTAATGATTTACACGAAAACTTTATAAATTTATAATTATTTAATGAAAACTACAATGTACGAACAGACGGATGGATTTGAAACTGGCTGTACTTTTATAGTATTGTATTACAGAAGACGTATGTTTTATGCAAACGACAACTTGTGTTATGATACATTTTCAAATTAGTCAAAAAATACTAGTTTTTGTATGATTATTTTTAGGATTAGTTTCCGAACACAGTTCTTCACACAATACACGTTTTCTTTTCTTTTCTTTTTCTTTTTTGTTGTTGTTATAAAGTACAATAAGAGAAACCTATATGTCAAGGTAAATACGCAGACGTCTTTATTGTCTGCTTTCAATGTCATTACGGAAATGTTTTGCAAACGGATGTCGACAATCAATTCGACTATAATTAGTTATTGGCAAATTAAGATCTGACTTAACTTTGTTTACATTTCGCATTATAATAATATCAATCAATGTAAATACTCACTGTGTGATAAGACTGGTTTCAATTCAAATAACCGTATGCAATGATTACACTTTTTTAACGAATAAATAGTTTCTTCTTGAATTTCTTTATAGGCCTATTGCGCGCGAATTTCGATGGTGTTTGTTCACTGGCATGTCATCCAAACTTAAACAAAAATGCAACACAAACCACAGTTCAGATTCTATAACCAAAATATCTCCTGTTTTTCTTCTTGGAACAAATGGGAAACTCACATAGGCTTACTGTACGTCGTGCTAAGCTGTTTTGTATGTTGAAGAATCTTATTCTTCATTTCATTATATCAGTGTTAGTATAATGAATCAGACTTGTAATCAAATACTCACGCTTGTGTGTGATACTGTTAAAAATCCACTAGAAATAAAAGAGATACAATAATCCTTATATAAATTTCAAATCAGCTGTCGCTCAGACTGAGTCGTCAGTTACACAACTTTCTTTTTAAATGTCATTGATACCACTAACGTCCCCGTACACATGCTTTAAACCTCTCACATATCCTCCAGAAATACTGAGACTAATACTTATAGCAGGCTAGGCTAGCTTTACAGGAGCAGTGTTACTGTCCGTAGACAGGCCAGCGGAGCCGCGCTTGCCGGGCGAGACAAGCGTTTACGCCCGCTTAGTCACAAACAGTAGCCCGGAAAAAAGGCGGAGACGGACAGTTGTAAACCTGGCAGTTCTCAAGCAATCGCTATGATGAACCACTGGCGCGGAAATTAATATCCAGAAAATCACAACAGTAATACTATTATGGTGTCTGGAAGACAATTAATGACACAGCTAAGCATGTATACCATATGATGTATAATCATACGATTGTGTATAATTGCACAGATCAAGAACGGAATTAGAATAGTGATCTGTTTTTAGCGGACGGGTGATTAAACATTGGTACAATTCCGAACACCACGTAGTTACACAGGCTGACTTCTCTGGCGTTTACCCGCTAGATCATGGCAGACAGAGCAAACGCATGGCTACCTTAATCATGATTACTTGGTGATATTGGCCGTGACAAATCCTTCCCTATACAACCTTGTTTACAACTTAATTTTTCATACGAGTGTTAAGTAATGGATAATCAATCCAAATTAAGACGGTGCTCAACATCAATTGATTGATTTTATATAATTATTCTAATTAAACTTTAAAGTGCTCATTGTTTTCATATAATTGATTGGAAACTTTGTCACGGCATTTCGGCAAAATTGTGCTTGTCAACATTAGCGAACAATAGGAATTAAGAGTTTGTTTTTCAATAAAGACCTGAAAATTATTAAATTGAGGTTTTTCTATAATATTCTCACTCATTTTTTAAACACTGTTAATTCCTCCAGAAACAAACTGCCTGTGACGGTGTACCTTTGTAAAGTCACTCATAAATAAATGTGTAACGATTGTGAAAGCAAGCATCAATACAATTTAGTGGCCAATACTACCACGCGACCAATCACATTTTATAAATCTAACTTAAAGCTTGCTTCAGGCCGTCTATTCTGCAGTGGCCCCCTTCCGATAAGTGCCGCCCATCGGATATTGCTGCTGGTCCCACAAAATAACTTTGTAAAACATACTCAAACACGTGCGTTTGTTTAACAACACTGTTTGTGAGGTACGCGCGTATTCCTGACCCTGCTATGATTGGGCAGTTAAGTTTGATTGACACTCCGAAGAGGTCCATTTAGAAGCAAATGCAATCAACGCTCCTGTAACTTAGGTCTGTACTAGGGTATTCTTTTTTACTAGTTTCATCACGTTGTGTCACACGAACAGCACAATCGAACATAATCGGAAGCTTTTGCGTCTGTATGTGTCATAATTCTGCCATGGGTATCCAGTCATTTCTGTAACCCATTCCTCACCCCACTTTCTTATGAATTGACAAAATAATAATTATTTCACTTCTCATTTTGGTATTGTCCCAGGTTTGTGCTATGATTGTCTTCATTCGCATCATTAGACCTACTTTTTTTTTTTTTTGCTCAAAAAATAAATTTAAGTTGTGTTTGTATAAAAAATTATTGGATTTGATCATGGGTATTTCTCTCTCAGTATGATTTACATGTACTGTATCTGTATTGAGGGCCTCAATATTTTGCCAAGTTTACATAACTGTGTGCTTCATGCATCATAAAAGAACCGATATCAGCTTAAATTTCCGTTGGAACAATTTGTCTTAGGCATTTGTTTCCTTTAAAATATTGTTTCATTTGTTATTCTTCAGTATTTTCTTTCAGGCTTTATTTCTTTCAATGTGACTGGTTGATTCTTCGGCGACAATTCTACGTCTGATAAAAAATAGAAAACCTATAAAGACTATTGTTATAATTGATATTTCATTTTCATGCATGATTAAATCTCTAAAGGCTACGATTAGTTCTTGAAAATAATTATCCATTAATTATCTATGAACCTATTGTTACAAATGGTATTGTCCCAGGTTTGTGCTATGATTGTCTTCATTCACATCATTAGACCTACCTTTTTTTCTTGCTCAAAAAATAAATTTAAGTTGTGTTTGTATAAAAAATTATTGCATTTGATCATGGGTATTTCTCTCTCAGTATGATTTACATGTATATACTGTATCTGTATTGAGGGCCTCAATATTTTGCCAAGTTTACATAACTGTGTGCTTCATGCATCATAAAAGAACCGATATCAGCTTCCATTTCCTTTGGAACAATTTGTTTTAGGCATTTGTTTCCTTTAAAATATTGTTTCATTTGTTATTCTTCAGTATTTTCTTTCAGGCGTTATTTCCTTCAATGTGACTGGTTGATTCTTCGGCGACAATTCTACGTCTGATAAAAAATAGAAAACCTATAACGACTATTGTTACAATTGATATTTCATTTTCATGCATGATTCAATCTCTAAAGGCTACGATTAGTTCTTGAAAATAATTATCCATTAATTATCTATGAACCTATTGTTACAAATTATTATATGCGAGGTTTAAGCACTGTCAGTGGAGCCCTATATACTCAATGATGGCGCTAGACTATTGAAGATGACGCCAGGTTTACAATTGTCGTATGAGACGGTCGGAACGATCGAAAAACATCATTAAAATTGTTATTTTGATCGGGTCAAGAATTTCCCTCTTCAATCTGAATCAACGACGGTTTAATCAAGTTTTCTTTTAAAATAATAATTGCATTCCACCAAAAAGAAAATTTAACAAAGAAGAAAAAAGGACACAATCTTAGGGGTTGAGCTTCTTCTCAATGATTGATAGCAGCCAGTTTATATTGTCAGACCGTCTCGTCGTTGGTTGCACCACGATTTGCGGAAGGGAATCTATGTTTCCGATGAGAAAGTGGGGGTGGATCCCGGGGACGAAACCGACGGAGTCTCCGACAATTTAGGATTTGAACGACTTATTTATTCGGTGATTGATCTTATGCAATACGTGATAGCAGTCAGTTTATATTGTCAGCCCTTGTCGTTGGTGGCACCACGGTTTGCCCGACGGTGTACTATGTTCCCGATGAGAAACCATCTGAGTGGGGGTAGAAACCCGGGGACGATACCGTACCCCCAGAGGTTCTGAGAATTTCGGATTTGAATCGGACTTACTTAATCGATTGTAGGGTCCCACAATTTGTGAACATTACCTGATTTATTTTCTCTGGGGAGGCAGCACTCTCTCACGAATAAGGGGCCCTGGCACCCTTCCCCACTGCCCCCTGGCTCTTCTTTATAGTCGGTATACCATGGACCAAAGGAGAGCTCTGTTGGGTAAAGACTAAATCATCATGCACACCACGAGTTAGTTCAATGTCATGAATAATCAATAACCCGCTCCATGCACATGAAGCGTACGGTGATTTAAGTCGTGTCTTGCGAATCCCAGTGAGTGTTGGGACGAGTGTACAGTCCTGGTTACGAAACGGGTTTTGTGTGGGTGGGTATTAGATATGATTGCATCGATATGTCAACTTGTGGGGCCAGGTTATGGACTGTATCTTTTATAAATAAATATTCGCTGGAGTCTGTGATATCTCATGGATTCTCGAGAATTCTGTATTTCATTATTATTGTATGACTATTTATGACATTGATTGTATTAGCCTAACGAAGAATCTTAAAAATTGTAGTGTAGACTATTAGACTAGTCCAAGTCAGAATATTTTAAGAATAAACTATCGTATTTATTTTTTTGTTGTAAGGTTTATTACACTTTTAAGGCGGGTAATCAATATTACTTGATTAATTAAGACAATTATTAAAGATTAAATATAACATTTGATTATTTTCCAGAATACGTTGAATCTCAAAATGTCTCTGTCTCTTTTTGGTGTTACTGTCTTTTTGTTTTATTTAAATCGTAAAAATGAAGCAGGAGAACTGCATTCACACATACAACTGGGGAGACTTGCTCAGGGACGTAGCCAGGATTTTAAAGGGGCCGTATTGCGGGGTACGTAGTACCGAACAGGGTTTTGGTTTGAGAGGCCTGGGCCGCCACTGGCACCTTGTGGGGGTCTGGGGTGGGCGAAGCCTCTGTGAGGTAGCACATTCTGAACGTTTTAGGAATGTTTTGAGGGACTGAGGACAAATATTTAACAGATAAAGTGAAAATTGCAAAAAATGTTCTAGGCTTTCCATGTTTATTTCACTCCATTTCACATCTAACGGGCCAAAATTCAAACATTGTTAGAAATAAATCTTCTATAGATTTCCGTGGGTTATTCTTGGTGTTTACACCGAATAAATCGATCCATCCATTTCTGAAAATAATCCTCTACTCCCTGTTATGTTGGGAAAAACCACATATAACCAGTGGCTTATCAGGAATCTTTATATGGGAGATGATGGAGGGGAGGCGAATGTGAAGTGGGGGAGGATCAATGATTAGGCGAGTATTTTTTTTTTTGGTGGGTACTTATACACATCCCCCCCCCCACACCCGAGCACCCCTAGATACTACACTGTGCATAACCCAGAACGTCCTCACTCTTAGGAGGGATATCGCTGTGTGAGCCAACTTGCATGCGTAAAATCGCTGATGACGCAATTTTGAATTGGTTCATTGAAAATCAATTGTTCGCAGGTATCAGGCCTGTGGCAGGGCACAACCCCCAAATTCTAAAAGGTCCACTTTTTTAAACCTATTATTTCACAAAATCAATTATCACAAAATGCTATAGCATACATTGCAATAAATATTTGCCAGCTCTTCAAATCGTTGATTTTTAATAATGTGGTATGAAATTTGTTGGGAATTGACCGGCTCCGGTGATTGCAGATTGATCCATGATACGAACAATGTTATCTCAGTATGCCTACAGATGTACAGAACATTATAACGTTACTTCTACTGGTTCTAAAAACAAACACCAAAATAAATGAAATTTTAAATAAAATATTCACGAATTATGTGTTGAGAAATCCATTATATAAGACCCTCAAAATACTACTTTGTCGGAGCCTCCCGGGGCTTTTCCCACTAACCTCCTCTAGGCCTCTGCCCCTGGACCCCAAATTTCAAAGAGTCCACTTTTTAAAACATATAATATTTTACTAAAATCTTTCTTATTGATAATCATGGGTTGTAGGTTTTCATCGAAATAGGCATTTCGTTCCGCTTTCTAAATTTTCGCACCCTCCCCCCCCCCCCCCCAGTTCCGTATTCTCAAATTTGCATGCCTAAGCCCCCAGGATGAAAGCTGTGGTATTAAAAGAGACATGCGTATGGCGGATGCTTATCAGAAAAGACGGGATGCAGAGTGTGCCCTCTATCTGCGTCCATCTCCGACGGTAGGCGTGACCAAATCATCCCATTGCATGAGCGACATCAACAACGGAGTCGCTTGTCTATTGGCCAAGCCGATACTACAAACTATAAACACATATAGGAACATATTTTGACAGGAGCTACATCGCTTTAGAGCCGCTGCGAATTTCTCAACACACGGTGCAACTGGGCCTAGCAAGATGGTAAATGAGGACATAATACGAGCGAATCTTACTGGTGGGGCCCCTTGGGGATTTCGAGTACAAGGGGGAGCTGGAACCAACAACCCCCTCACCATCTCGAAGGTAAGTGATGATTGGGACGCGGGGTTTGATTTGCCAGTCTTCTTGTTAATCCGATCGTGTCGCGTTTTCTGATGATCAGTTTGTTGACCGTCAGCTTTTATGTTTTGGGGTCAGCTGTTTCGAGAAATAAAAAGATGCATTGGTGTGTACTGTCATCGGCCATATGTCGACGATGAAACATGCCTGTGACGTAACGATCGGCAGTTATGGTTGGAATGTTGTGAATGTTTTTCCCTATCTATTATAATTAAATAGGCCTACTTATCGACAAATACATGTTTTATGGTTTTATATAGGCCTGTAGGCCTACTTTTTTAGGGTTGTGATGTTGTCACGCGCACTTTGTATTTTTCACGTCGGCTCCATATTTTGGAAATATCACATTGTTAAATTAGTATAGATCTGTCTACTTGTACTCCTACTGTTTACACAATGTTATAATACAGTAATTATATCATAATGCTATACATAGTTTTATACGGTACATTTTTATATATCTATATACGAATATTGCCAATGCATCACATTCTCTACGTCATTACTTCTCTAACAGATTTGTACTGCATAATGATGTTGTATGCAGCTCACGGGCAAACATCCACGCGTAATATCTCGCGTTGCCTATTAAGGCGTTCTCTTAGCTCATGTTCTCACAATATTGTTGAAGTAGAATGTAAATTGAATCAAATTACTGAGATGTTTTTAATTTCCAACTCTCTTAAAAGGAGGCCAACTTATATTTGTTCATGTTCCATTATTCCACGTTGCATTTACTGACAAATTTTTCGTTCGTTTGGTTTAAGGTGCGGCATGTTTCTCCCTGTAATCCACCCGTTTCGACTTTAATAGGATAAACAGTGGCGCGTTATTGCGTGTATGTGTCCATGAGTTTCTAGTTAGACATACTGAGTGTAGCCTAGTTGTTTGAAATGTTGTTCGTACCGTATATATACATAAACCGCAAGTTCCGCACCGTCTTGTAGAGGTCCCCGTGCGATACCCGCTGACTTGTTGACAGAAAACAACCGGTACTTCCGCAACGAGTTCACGACCAGATATGTCATCCGCTATTAATGTGATACACATGGGACTCATTTTTGGTGGCTTACAATTGAGTCTATGTTTACGATGGGGATATACCTGGTGGTGGCGACGCCAGCAAGAGTCAGAGGGGCCGGGACTCCGAGTCGATAGTTTCGTATGGGAACACTGCTTTAAAAAGCATTTTCACAGTCTGAGAATGCCTTTTCTGGGAATTTTAGAAGTTTCTGTTCTTAAAATTTGCTGCAAACACGGTGGGTGGTGTGAATTTGGCCCGGAATTTGGACCCCGGTCGGCAAACGTTGATCTCTCGTAGGGGACCTTGGATTGAGTGGTGGCGCCGGGGTGGGGGGGGGGAATTTGTCAGACAGGCCTGGATCCCCTGTCATCCAACGCCACGACTAGTTCGTCGGATCAAAAATAAAAATAATAATAATTTGCCTATCCAAATAACGTTATTTTGATTGGTAATCCTAATGTGCTCTAAAAGCACAATTTAGACCATTCTAAGCCATAAAAACTCTCCCCGTAAACCCTACAGGAATTTTTTTTATTCCGGGCCGTCGACCAAGGCTCTAGTCGGCTCCGGGTTCGGATCCCTCCGTCGGACATGTCGGACCACTTGTCGCCAAATTTCTGGTTCCACCGCTGCTTGGATTCCTCGGTAAGAATTCATGGGCCCACTGACTCCTGGATGTGGTTTAGTTAAAATACATACAAATTCACCACCGGTGGTAGCAACCCAAGGAGAGCGGATTTAAGGAGTGGCACGGGGAACGTTCCCCAACCCCAAAAAATTCCCACTCCAAAAAGAAAACAATCGTTTTTAAATACCAAAACCCGATTCCAAGAGTTGTACTGTAGGCCCAATTACCATATCATTGCAATATATGTATTGTAGGCTTGTTGACCTAGGCCTATATGCCGGTAATTGGTCTAGCCATGGAGAGTACGACCATGAAATGCTGTGTCAGAACATTCGTCACATTCACCTTGGCTTGAAGAATGGCCTACTGTAATTTCAATCTGTACAGCAACGTAGCTTACCCTGGTGTTTTATTCCATCAGTGACTTTCGTTTTTCGCATTGACATTCTTTAATAAGGAAGTGTGTGATACAGTAGGTCTAGTTGCAGTGTAACGGTATTAATATTTTGTACACAGACCTGTATCTAGGAGATACGATGCGTGCGTGAAGTGCAGTACCCTCACTCCCATTGGAAAGGGGCCACGTTTTGTTATTTCCAACAAAAATTAAAAGGGGATCTTAAATCTTTACAATTTAACCAGCAATCTATCGCATAGGTCAGTATTTTGTAATTAAATCTACTCCACCGGAGATTCATTATTGTTGCCAATGGCAAACGTGGGTACGGATCTCGGTAGTCATGTGGTACGAATGCAATTTATTTTATCTGATATTTGAATCGTCAAATTGATAATATTAAGAACGTCGCAGGTACCATAATATAAGTTGAACCAAATACGCGTGGCACAACGTATCACGTTGATGACTCTTATGCGGATCTTGAAATAATTATATTCAACACCTGGTAAAGTTGATTTTAATTTCGGATAAGTAATAAAGACCGACTATTTCCAATGGAACTAGGAAAAACAAATTATAAACGTGGTAAAAGTATGTAAAATAGCTAGCTTCTTCAATTTATAGAACGTCAAAAACGCATTCTGTTTAAAAATTCCTCGTAAAACTTATATAGTACATATTAAAATGCACGCCATCGTGTTGAGATTCAATATTTCGACATAATAACTTTAATTGAACTAGGCTACTGACTTTTTCAGGCGCTTCGTTTTTGTGGCCCAATTAAAGATGGTTAAGAAGAGCAAAACATTGCAATTTTTTAACCGTCTCCGTGGCGCAATGGATAGCGCGTTGGACTTCTATGTGCTAATACGATGTAATTCAAAGGTTGCGGGTTCGAATCCCGCCGGAGATGTTATTATTTTCTTTTTTCATCATAACATGTTGTGTCTGTAATGAGCTATACAACTTAAACAAAATAATATTTTAATTTCTTTCTAATTAATTACAGTAATATCAATTGCAATTTGAACGATAATGACGCCACAGGCTGTATCTTTGCGCCGTTACTTTTTAGTGGCAGAATGTAAAGATTATTACGCATACAAACCAGAAAAACTTAATTGTTTCGTTATTTATTAGAAGTATAAGTTTTTATTTTTTATTTTTATTCTTTAACAAAGATTTAAAAATTGGTTTACTCCTTTGTAAAGGGGAAAACATAAAAAGAATATAGAGATCATGTAACGGCATTCGAATTAATGCAGAAGATCGTTTAACTAAGTTATACTACCGGAGATATTCGCATCCCGAAAGTTTAAATATCATGATTAATACTTAGTATTTGGATTCTAATCAGTTAAGGGTCATATTGGCAAATGGGTTAAAATTTAGTACTGTATCTGATCTTATTGGTTTTAATTTCGTTCCCTTCGATGCTTTGTTTAAACTAATGTTAACGTTCTATGGCCAATATTGTTTGGTTGGCCTAAATGTTTACGAATAAGCAATAACTGATGGAAGAGAAGGAGAGACATATAACAAGTTGAGTTGTGTAATGCGGATACTATACATTGTCTGCATTTGCTTATTAATAAGTTAGTATACGCATCTGGTTTTAATACAATAATATTGTGCATTAGTTTCAAGTTCATTCGCACACTGCTCAGCGCTTCTCGCACACTGGCTCATGCGCACGCACATGACACAATAATGCCCTGATGCTCACTCTGATGTGAAGCGATGTCACACATAACCACCACAGGTATGGAACGCAAAAAGGGCAACCTTGAACACTTCAACGATTATACAAACAGTACCAACGAATACACAGGCACTCCAATGAATGTACAAGCACTCCAATGAATATTGAAACACTCCAACGAATATAGAAACACTCCAACGAATATAAAAACACTCCAACGAATGTACAAGCACTAACGAATATAGAAACACTCCAACGAATGTACAAGCACTAACGAATATAGAAACACTCCAACGAATATAGAAACACTCCAATGAATGTACAATGTATTTGACATATAGAAACACTCCAACGAATATAGAAACACTCCAACGAATATAGAAACACTCCAACGAATATAGAAACACTCCAATGAATGTACAAGCACTCCAACGAATGTACAAGCACTCCAACGAATATAGAAACACTCCAATGAATGTACAAGCACTCCAATGAATATGCAAACACTCCAATGAATAAACACTTCATCGAATATAGAAACAATCTAATGTATATAGAAGCAATGAATGCGTAATAATAATAAGAATATGTTATTACCAGAATTATGACAGTGCAATGTTAAACAAATTACACTTTGTTTCGTTGAAATGATTACCAGTACAGAATGCAATGGTAAGAGATATAATTGAATTTCTTTTGTTGAACAAAATATCTATAAAGTAACACTATTGGTTTTTTATTTTATATTTAAATCTATTTGTATTTGTGAGACTGTGATGCCTTCCAACTTTTATAAATACATATCTTCCTGTACTCCACTATATTACCAAGGACTTGTGCTACAACTTTATAGCAGGGACATGGTTAACGTTACAGTCGGAAATTTATAATTCACAATATTCAGACCCGGTACGGTTTTACTTGGATACAGTATAGTATTCCGCAAATTTTCGAGTTTTCCTCAATCTTGCACCGGTTCTGGGTTTTCCGTTAGATGTAATACCCCAAGAATTACTTGTAACGATTTGTGTAGGTTTATTTAATATGATCAGGCACATGTACATATGCTTACCTTAATGTATAGGACCAATTAACAATTGAATGCAACCGTTTTTTAATGGGGAAAAATAATTGTTTACATTGTGGAAGGTCGGTCACAGTATTCAATTAAGGAGCCTGCTGCATCACATTAGTTTTTGCGGAGCGATGT